GGGAGGATGCTGCTTACAGACTTGCTCCTCATGGCTTGTTCAGCCTGCTTTGTTATAGAACTCAGGCTGGTGCCCAGGAGTGCCCCCCCCCCCCCGACCCACAGTGGGTTGGTCCCTTCCCCATCAATCACTAACTAAGGAAATGTCCTGCAGTTTCTTTGCTTACAGCTTGGTTATCTGGAGGAATTTTCTAAGTTGAGGTTCTCTCCTCTCAGAGGACTGTAGCTTGTGTCAAGTTGACATAAAACTAGCCAGCACCCATGTGTAAATAGCCAGTACATTGCCTGGCAGATAGTAAGGGCTCAGGTGATGTTTCTTGGTTTCTTATCTTCACAATAGAAAGCAGCTCTCCGGGTTCATTTCAGACTATCTTGAGGATGTACCTCATCTGCATTCCTTGTGTGTATGGTGGAGACTTTGGGGATGTCTGAACACTGTGATGTGCAGAAAAGCCACTTGTCACCTGAGGGCCTGAGTCACCACAAGAGAATCGTCCCTGAATATGTTCACTTTCCAGCTACGGTGGCCTCAAGAGAGGAGGAAGAAACTGTGATACAGTTGAAAGGACATACTTTGTTGATGTCAATGGTTCAAACCTTCTGTGACTTAGTTTCCCTAGGGTTGTTCAGATCCAGAGATTGAACATGATAGTAGCTACTGCAGTAACTAACCTCTAAAGTCCACAGCATAGCCTGAGTGAGTGCTTGCCGACTCACCGGTCTTTGTGTAGCCTGTGACTGTCACCACACTTTGTTACAGAGGCAGTGGCTGTCAATGCAGGCTGTAGCTGTGTAGCACAGAGTATGGCTCCAGTTTTTCTCTTGACTGATTAACAATCCAAAAGTGTTCTGCCATCTGTAGTTCCCTCTACCAAGGGAGTAGTCAGTGTAGCAGTCTCTTCTATATCTTGGGAGTTATTAAACCTGGTGTTGGCTAACCTTGGGGCTCCTGTCTTGAGTGTCTTTGCCAGCCTCCCAAACCTCCAACAAGTTGCATGCAGAGGCTCTGAGAAACACTAGAGAACACAGTGCTGCTAGGGGTCTGTCTGGTTGAACCGTTTTCAACACTTTGTGGGGAAACCAGGTGGTAGTAGTAACGTCTCTTCTCTGGAGTATAGAACAGTAAATCCTGAGGCCTCTGTGTCACTGAAGGACCCCAGGGATTCATGATTGGGCGAGTTTCTGGGACAGATATTAACTTCAAAACTGAGTTCAGCCAAAGACCCCCCCACCTCCGTCTCCCAAGCTGTAGATGAAAGCTCAGGCAGCCTAGAGTCTTTGAAGAAGAGTAGGCCTGGAGCTGGTGTGCCTGCTGTTGAGCTTCACTTACTGTGCTTCCTTTGTGGTTGCTTTTCTTCTCTGCACTCTCCCTGTGAAGTCACAAGACCAAGGCACTGGCTGGCTGAGGGCACAGTTTTAGAGTGCAACTGCCTCTCAGCAGGATCACTTCAGGTCACATCCCAGTGTGTGTATGTGTCTTTCTCCAGGCACCAGCCATGGCTAGAGTGTAGTGAGCTGGGCTCTTCTCAGTGTGTGTTTTGAGATCACAGAAACCGTGCCCTTTGCTCAGGCTAACTTGTGGTAAGATTAGAAGGGCTCAGCACCATCAGATGCTGCATCAATTAACCCCACAGGTCAGGTTTTCCCGTGCCAGCGACATGGCAGCACAAGGCTTTGCCCATATTTGCCTTACAGCTTGTGCCCCATCAGCTCTGCTGGTCTTTGCAGACTGACTCCACTGGCAGATGTTTGTTTACTGATTGGCCAGCTGCTGATGCATAGCACTGACCTGGAGACAGCTGACCCTAGAGTTGCAGAGAAGAATGAGGCATTGTGGAGGTAGAAGGTGATATGGATCAGTACACTTCTAAGCACTAAGTGCTTCTGGGTACAGAGAAGCGGGCTCACTGGGACTAGCACCTTAGCTGGTTGTTGCTGACCATGAGAGGGCGGAAAGCGGAGGAGGGCTCCCAGAGGCAGGGTATATGAGGAGGGTGGACCTGAATGTTAGAGGAGCTGGCTCCTAGGAAGCTGGGGCAGGTAGAGTGGAAGGAGATGCTGGGGAGTGGGCAGGCTAGAGAGCTCATGTGGCCTGTTTTGATTACTGAGGGTGGGCTTGATTGTGGAACAAGACTGGCCCCAGGATAGCCCCTGGGCTGTCTGAGCTGGTAATATTGATGAGAAGGTGCTAGAAAAGTTTCCCTCCAGGGAAACACACACAGCACAATTGCTTGTCCACACTTGTTTGCCTGGAGAAAATTATACACTTAATGTAATGAGCTCTGTGACCATGGAACTTTAATGACCTTTGTAATGGCCTGGGGTGGCCTTTGTAGTGGCCTGGGGTGAACAAATTGAGCCCTGGTAAGTCTCCCAGCTGGTGTCCAACAAAGGAAGTTGTCTGAGTTCATGAGTTGTCCCCATTTTCCATCTTCTCCTTTAAAACACCCTGTTGTTATTGAAAGCTGTGGCTCTGACTCCAAGGCCATGTTGCTTCCACCACCCCCACGCCCGTACCACAAGGAGCCACTGGGAGCCTGTGCTGTCTTCAGATCTTCCTTACTGCCTTTCAGATTCCTAGCACCCACAACTCTAACTCAGGTTCCCATCCATCCCTGCTGGCCAGTTTCCATGGCTCCTTGTGGCCACCAGAGGGAGATGCAGGCTGCTTTGCCAAGTCTTCAGGGTCTTGCACTGCTGACTTGGAGCCAGCTTTCCAAACCTTGGCCTTGCTTCTGCCAAGCCAAATGCTTTCCCATCATACCTCTCATCCAGAATGAACACCTATTCATGCTTCAGAACTCTCTCCCATGCCTACCGCATAAGACCACTTCTCCTGTTTAGACACTGGCTTTCTTGCCTTCCTCACCTCACTGCTCACTTTTCCTGATGGCTTTGTACTATCATCCTGGAGGACTCTCGAGTTTTCTCCAACCACCCCAGCATAGCATCCTTCAAAAGCCAGGGAATGTATCTATGCAGGACTGTCTTAGGAATGCTCCCCGCTGCTACATGAATGTCCAGGAATTTGTAAGAGGCAGGAAAGGAGTTAGTCTCAGGGGTGAATGTGGCAGGGAGACTAGCTCTCCTCTTGGGTCCTGGCTTCAACCTGGAGGATGTCCTCACTGCGTCCTCACATTCCAGGTGCTGCTGTGGCTTGTGCCGGGCAAAAGCAGAACCCAGCGTCTGGGCAGAGTTACTCACAGTGGCTGTGGTGTAAGCCATGTTCTTGATTCTTCAATAAGGATGCACTCGTTCAGGATCTTTTTGGAATTTAAAAAGTGGGTTTCCATCAAGAACATTTAAAAATCAAGCTAAAACAAGTCATTTGCAATTTTATGACTATACTTAACATCTTTTAGGCAGTGTGAAGTATTCACTTTCATCTCTTAGAATTAAAAGGATTGCTACTGCATTGGCCGGGAATCGAACCCGGGCCTCCCGCGTGGCAGGCGAGAATTCTACCACTGAACCACCAATGCTCCAGCTGTCAGCAGCTGTGTGGCACCTCCCTTTAACCTCATTCCTGGGCCTCCATGTGTCTTATGTTGAGTCACAGGCTATGAGCCCAGTTTCTAACACTGCCTGCCACATCAGCACAGCTGCAAGAAGAGCAGCTAGCTCCAGAGCAGGAGGGAGAAAAGGGTGGGTATGGGTTTGGGGGTTTGTATGAAGTAAATTTGCCTTGGGGCCTTGAGACAGGAAAGAGAGCTCACTCTGTCCTCGTCTGTCGGTGAGCCTCCCCTCTGCTGCGTGGGTCCTGATGAACTGTTGTGCCACTCTCCACTTTCACACTGCTTCCTGCTGGCAGCTGGCCCAGAACAAGGACAGTGCTATGGAGTCCCCTTTCAGGTGGAAGCGAGGAACTCAAGACTCCTACAACCAGTCATACGTGGTAAAAGAATCCAGCAGCAATCCAGAATCTAGTCACAGACATTTGGTCTGCTTTGTGCCTTCTGTGGTTGAGGAGCCGGGCTTCTTTGGCAGGAGCTCTGTGAGGAAACTGACCAGAAAGGGAACAAAAAAAAAAAAAAAAAAAAAACAGCTCTGCATTGGCCGGGAATCGAACCCGGGCCTCCCGCGTGGCAGGCGAGAATTCTACCACTGAACCACCAATGCTCCAGTTGATTTGTGTTGTGTCTAAAGAGCTCTTCTCAGAGCTGTTTCCAAAACTCAGCCCCACTAATGAAACACTGGGCTTCGCCTGGCTGGTTTGTCCTGTTTGCGAGACAGGTTTAGTGCATCTATTCTTTCCCAGCCCTCTTAACACGTTGCTGCTTCTGGAGTCAGAGCCTGTGATCTTACAACTCTCACCTAAAAGCCCTTGAGCCATCTGTAACCTCAGCCCCTATAATGAAATGACATACTCTCCTTCCATACATGAGCCTTCTTTTACCATGAGCTAATGCATGCACTGTGCCCATCAATCTGCTAACCTGTGAGCTAAACAAACCTCTTCTCTTTATAAGTATTCTGGCTCTGGTGTTTAATTTTAATAGGCAGAATGGACTAATACACCTGGCTTTCTTTACCTAGGAAATGCCTGTTAGTGTTTTTTATATAATGTCTCAAATGGGACTGCTCTGTACTCCTCCTGGACATAGACAACATGTTCTGCTTCTGTGTAGCACTACTTCATTTTGCAACAAGTTTCTGTGTGCTTGGATGTTGCCGCTGGGCTGGAGCCAGATGCTGCTGCACAGATGCAGATCCTTGGATGCATGGGTGCAAAGCTGAGCAAGTGTTTGATAAAGATAGGTAATGGCTTTTTAAAAATTACATTTTTGATTCCTGGTAAGACATTAATTTACATCCTCTCAGATGCCTAGAAGTGAGCTAGTTCTCACTGCATTATATACAAAGAGAAACTGAAACCCTGGGTAGACCTGCCCACAGAGGCTGACCCCAGTCCTCTCTTGTAAAGGTCATCTCTGTAGAGCCCAGGCAGCAGGGATAGTCTGGTTTCACCTGCCCTATAGCCCCTCTCTCCTTTCTCTCCAGGCTGGTGCGGGACTTTGTGGCCCAGAACAATACCATGCAAATAAAACACGTGATCCAGACCCTGTCTCAGGAGTTTGCCCTGTCCCAGCACCCCCACAGCCGGAAAGGGGGTCTCATTGGCCTGGCTGCCTGCTCTATCGCCCTGGGCAAGGTATGTTTCCTCCTGAGGGAATAACACCAGGAATAACTTCATTCTGATTGAAATCCAGACATTTTCCTACCCAAGCCCCAGCAGGGCTATTGCATACTTTTATTTTATCAAGATCCTCCCCCACATAGGACTGCCAGCAAACATGGCTTTGTGGCCTTGCAACCATCTCCCCATAGTGTCGTCCCACTTCTGGGAGGCTGGCTTAGGACAAACGTTACTAGTGCAGCCCTCCAAGGCACCAGACCATCAGTTGACACTGCTGGCTACAAAGCCGGGTACCTAGCCCTTCTGACTAGTCCTCCTGCTGCTCATTACAGGACTCAGGGCTCTACCTGAAGGAGCTGATCGAGCCAGTACTGACCTGCTTTAACGATGCAGACAGTAGGCTGCGCTACTACGCTTGCGAGGCCCTCTACAACATCGTCAAAGTGGCCCGAGGCGCTGTGCTGCCACACTTCAATGTGCTGTTTGACGGGCTGAGTAAGGTAACTTCTGGTTAAGCTAAATTTTTCTTTAACTTCTTTTTTGAATCCTTGGGAGTTTCACATCATGCACCCCAATTCTGTTCACCACCCTGTCCCCCCATATCCCCCAATCTCTGCTGCGCCATCCTGTCTACACCCCTACACACACAGGGGATAGAGAAAAAAACAATGTAAGCAAACAAACAAAAAAACAACAGGAACAGAAAAATCTCTGCTTCTCATTCTCTCCTGCCTCTCTATCACCTCTTCATCAGTCCTGGTGGCACTGGAGGCTTTGGTGTGTCATATAGTATACCCCTTTGTCCCATCAGCTTGACTGGCAAATGTTCTTTGGAGTGAGTCACTGGTCTGGTTCAAGGCCTCCGGATTTTGGTACACCATCCTCACTGGATTCTCACCAGAACTCCTCTAGGGTATCCTGTGGCTGCCCAGAGTCTTTCACCCAGCTAACTTGACTTTCTAGGACCCTGAGAGCTTGGGACACTGCCCAGATGCAAGTGGAGCAGATAAGCATGTTGTTATAAGGGACAAATACTGTCTGAATCTAATATTTCATCGACTTTTATCTGTATATTCGTGATGTTTCTGTCCATCTTCATTGCACTTTGTGAAAGTATCAGCCTGCTGTACACATTAAGGGCAGACTGATACTTTCACAAAGTGAAAGCTGGTAGTTTGAGAAGCACTAACCTCCCAGACAAAGATGATAATGGTGACTCCACAGTGCAGGCTGTCCCCTGTAAGGACAGTGATTACAATCTCCCTGGTGTGCTAAAGAGTAATCCACCATAGAGCTTTAGGGTCCCTATTGCTCTTCTTCATGCCTTTTGCCCTGGTAAGTTGCCCTCCCCTCACCCTGGAGGAGTTCCCTCCCAAGCCATGCTGTAACTCCTGCAAAACGAACAACAGGGACATTTCTAAATGCCACCCTCACTGCTGCCTCAGTGCCCTGTGAGAAAGAGAACCGAGCCTTTTAAGATGGGAATGCCCTGAAAGCAGCCAATGGAAACAACTGCCTGGCCCAGTTACAGAATGACCTGAGAACCCCAGCAGAGTTTGCAGGCAGGGAAGCAGGGTTGTCCCTGAACAAATGGAAAATCTAATGTAACTGAGTGACTTAGTACCTTCCCTACCTTTCTCAGGGTCAGGTACTGGGGAAGACACCACTTGGTGTTCTAATCTGCACCATGACCTTGGCTGTTGGTTTGCTTTAGTCCTCTGGCTTCCATTTCACTATGACTGAACATTGCCTCTGTTTCTCTATTTTGGTGTCTCGTAGTTGGCTGCTGACCCAGACCCCAATGTGAAAAGTGGATCTGAACTTCTAGACCGACTTTTAAAGGTATTTCTACTTTGTCCCTCTTTTATTTTTAGAATTTATTCCTCTGTCTGTGTAGAGTAGAAATTCTGGCACTGAAGATGTTTTTCATATACATATATATTCATACATATGTATTAAAGCTTACTGCTTGGTATGCGGTTTTTTTCCATGAGAACTATATAGAGCTGTGTCACTACAACAGTCAAAATACAGAATTGTGCCATCCCCCTAAATGAAAATCTTCTGCTTTGGGAGGGGGTTTAGATCTATTTTGTTATTTTATGTATATAGGTGCTTTGCCTGCGTGTATGTCTATATACCTGTGTGACTGATCACTGAAGAAATAATGAGGGGTGTCATATCCCCTGGAACTAGAATTACAACTGGTTATAAGCTGCCATTTGGGTGCTGAGAATTAAACCTAGGTCCTCAAGAATAGCCACCAGTGCTCTTAACTGCTGAGCCATCTCCAGCCCAGAATCTTCTGTCTTAACTCCCCACCCAGAACAATGGAGTTAGACTTCCACCCCAGCCTCCCATGACAGGATACTGGACTTTGCCCCAGACTTCAGAGTAGGGTCTTGCCATTCATTTGGTCTCTTGACTTTTCTCTGCTCACCATTCATCATTTTGTTTGGCTTTGAGCCTGTGGCAGTACCAATTCTTCAAGGACTTCTCCCTGGCTCTGGTTCTGCCATGGTTCCCTTATCCTCAAGTCAGCCCAGGACCAGCAGCACAGCAAGCCAAGTTCAGGCTCTTCATAGACCTCACTGCTTTGATCCACAGGACATTGTGACAGAAAGCAACAAGTTTGACCTGGTGGGCTTCATCCCCCTTTTGCGGGAGAGGATTTACTCCAACAACCAATACGCCCGGCAGTTCATCATCTCGTGGGTAAGGTCCAGTCCTTGATAGATTTTTGCAGGAGTAGAGTCATGTGAGTCTCTGGTAGAGTCACATGAGCTCTGATACACAAGTGTTTCCTTCAGCTAAGAGATACCACCTTGTGTATCACCTAATAACCTTCAAACACCTCATCACCAAAAACACTGTGGGCTGGGCATAGTGGCACATCCCTTAATCCCAGCATTTAAGAGTCAGAAACAGGCAAATCCCTGAGTTCAAGGCCAGCCTGATCTATAAAGCATTTCCAGGCCAGTTAGGACCACATAGTGAGAATCTGTCTCAAAAAACAAAAGAACAAAAACACTTTGTCTGATGTTGTCTTCACTGCCCGTCCTGTTTGCCCCTGAATGGATGAGATTCTTGTCCTAGAAAATGCCCAGGATCTCTGAAGCCCATAGTGCTGCATCCAGCAGCTCCACCATTGCTAGCCTCCTAGCTTCACCCAGCCTTCCCCATCACCCCCTCTCTCCCCCAGCATCTAAATCATCTTGGAGTCAAACTCCTGTTTCCTTGCACATTGAGCAGAAAAATGATGGCTGCCAGCACCACCCACCATAGATCCCTGTAGTGTATGACACAGGCCCCCAGTCCTTTTCACTGCTGGTCCCAGAGGAAGAGAGTACAAGACAAGGCTCTGTACCTGAGCCGGGTTTCCCAGCTCTCCCTCTCACCGCCCCCCTCTGTCAGATCCTGGTTCTGGTGTCGGTGCCGGACATTAACCTGCTGGATTACCTGCCGGAGATCCTGGATGGGCTCTTCCAGATCCTGGGTGACAATGGCAAAGAGATTCGAAAAATGTGAGTGCGGGAAGGAGCAGGCAGCTGCCACTCAGTATAATCCCTGTGGGTGCCCATGGTAACATACAACTCCGTGTCCTGGTGACCAGGACACATGGTTTACTTCTTCCCATACCCTTCCCCATGGAGGAGTGGAGAGCCTATCTTCCCTTCTCTGCTCAATGTCCTCCTGGCAAGCAGAAATGGGCTGACATGCCAGCTCATTCTCCTTTTCTCACTGGTAGGTGTGAGGTGGTTCTTGGAGAATTCTTGAAAGAAATTAAGAAGAACCCCTCCAGTGTGAAGTTTGCTGAGATGGCCAACATCCTGGTGATCCACTGCCAGACCACCGGTGAGTGTTTAGAGGCCCTATAGTCACTAATGTCTCCTCAGAAGCTGCTGTCTCTCAAATGCAAGCTTCAGTGTGTGGCAAAAGGGAGCCCAGGTGGGAGAGGCACTGTCTGTGACTCTGGACCTGGAAGCAATAGGGTGATGGTTGTGGGTAAGGAAGAGATCTGGGTTCTCTTTGACAGATACCTTTTACATGCTTGGAAGATCCTGTAGACATGTTTTGCCTTAGGTAAAGGTAGGATCCTTCGAGGTCAGAATTGCCTTTCCCTCAGCATCTGTTGGTTATCAGCACAGTCACAGCAACAGCTGCATGTTACTGACCATTAGCCTACAGGTCAGCTGGGTGGTTTTGCTCCCATGGCCAGGCTGGATCTAATCATGCCCCTGAAGCCAGTTGTAGGGTCAGTTGGAACTAGGTGGTCTGGGATGGTCTCACACATCTGGCCCTTGACTGGGATGGGGTCATGGGGCTGGATGGCATCAGCAGGGTTCTAAGAGAGATAGGACATAGACAGGTCTCTTGATTCCTATGATTGAACCAGAGATACCATCACCACAACTACATGCTGTTGACCAGAAAAGCCAGTTTTCTGGATCTAAGGATAGAAAAATGAATTCCACTTAGAAATGAAACACAAGTCATATTGCAATGGGGCATGGATCCAGGGAGGGTAGGGCATCATGGCTGTACAGCAGAAGATTATTGCTCTCTCTTAACCTATCTTGGACTCACCTTTAGAAGGCAGAGAGCCCAGGAAGTATTGTATTCACATAGCTAGAAACAGTCAAACCCCTGATTCATCAACCTCCAGGCCTAGCCTTTGTTCATGGTAGATGGGAGGGAACTCTCCAATGCATGTGCCAGCCCCTCTAAAAGCCACCACTTCCCCTTCCAGATGACCTGATTCAGCTGACAGCCATGTGCTGGATGCGGGAGTTCATCCAGCTGGCGGGCCGGGTAATGCTGCCCTACTCATCTGGGATCCTGACTGCTGTCCTGCCCTGCTTGGCCTATGATGACCGCAAGAAAAGTATCCTTCACTATGGAGAGGAGACTGTGAAATGAAGGAGCCTTGAGTGGGATGGGACTCCCTTTGGCTCCTTTACTCCTTCAAATGGTCTAGCATTTAGGAAGCAGGAGATGGAGTGGAGTGTGGCTTAGGAAAGCAAGGGACACGAGACTAATGCTGGCTGTCCCCAGTCCTCTCACTTGCTTACTTCCATAAATGAAACAGCAATCCCATGTACCAAGTTTCCACCCCTCTGAGCTCATTCTGCTGTACCTTGGTGGGAAAGATCCCAGTAGAGGAGATCACCTGTGAGAAGAGGAGTATCTCACAAGGGTGCATATAGCAAGAACAGGACTCGGGGAGGACTGAGCCCATGACCGGGAAAACTGATGGCCTTGGGCTTTAGGAGTTGTTTGCACAGGGCAGCCCCTTACATCAGTAGACAGGCATCAAGGAGGTGGCCAATGTGTGTAACCAGAGCCTGATGAAGCTGGTCACTCCCGAGGATGATGAGCCAGATGAGCCAAAGCCCGTAGCACAGAGGCAGACAGAACCCAACCCTGAGGACTCCCTGCCAAAGCAGGAGGGGACAGCTAATGGTGAGTACCCTGATGTCAGAGTCCTCACTTCTGCTGCTGGGGAAACAGAGGTCCTGGGACTAAACTTGTGGTGTCATTTACAGATATTGACTGGTTTTGGTACCTGCCCAGTGAAGCAGGTACTTTGTTGGCCCCGTCCTGCAGGCTCTTCATCTGCACCCAGAGCCCATGCTCTTCATTCTTGCCACCTTAAAGACCATTACACATTGCTCTTGGTCTCCTGGGTTCAGCCATTATCAAGTCATTGTTGGGAATATGACAGGAGCACCAAGCTGTGCAGCTCATTTGATTCTCAGCATCTGGCTCTCCCTGCCCTAGACATCTCGGGGAGGATGGGTCAGGAAAATGCTAGTTTATTAAGTACTAGAAATTTCCATTGCACAAGTCAGTGCCTTTAAACAGTCCTTTCAAAGGCTTTCTTTACGTGTTTACTTGTTGGCTTGTAAAATAAAGAATACCACTTTTATGCCGATTGGAGATGGAGCTTGCCCTCCTGGACCTTTGTCATCAGTGTCTCTGACTGTCTTTGGAGGGATGCCCTCCTTTTCAGTGAATCAGAAAATAAATGGATGCAAACCCTGTGCATATGTCTAAAGGTGACAGAGCAGGGTCTGAAACCTACAGCTGGAGCCAAAAGAACCATCATAATCATAGCATGTGCTTGCTCCCTTCATGCTAAAACAGCAGACAGCCTTAATCCAGGTCCCAGGGCCTCCCTCTGTGGGTTTGACTGATAGAGTACCTGAGTTTGGGTATCAGGTTTCAGCTGTGCCATCACCAGAGCAATAAAACACCTGGAGGCAGAACAGCACACAGCTGGAGCAAAATGGTAGTTCACTGGTAGAATGCTCACCTGTCATGAGGGAGACTGGGGTTTGACTGTGACCAATTCAGCAGGTTGAGCACTTTTTGACAACTCCTGGAAAGAGAAAATTTAGGTAAGTTAATGAAGACCTTGCACAGGAAAAGCTCTCTTTCTAAAAGCTAGAAGTCTCAGTAATAGTTTGTGAATTTGTGCTGGTGTGTGAGCTTTTTGTTTTGCTTTCCTTGTTTTATGATTCTCATTTTAGAATATTTGCACAGTAGGGGAAAGTTACAAAGCAGCAGGATTGCCTGCACCAAATATGAGCAATGTCAAATTTGGGGCATATCTTTTACATTTTTAACATACACATAATTAAAATGATGTGTCAGTCCACATCTTGATTATTTATTTGTGTTGGATAACTTTCTCTTCCTTATTTTTGCTTGGCTTGCTTTTGGCTTCAGCTTGACATGAAAGTTAGGGTCTGTGAATCCCAGTCAGCAAGTAGAATAGTGTTTGATTGGACTGAGTAGGGAAAGGTCCTGGAACTACTTGGGACAGATCCTGGTTTCTCTGGGAGATGTTGGAAATACTCTAGAATTAAGTAGACAATGGCTATACACATTTATGATTGAATTTAGAACCACCCAATTATATACTTTTTTTCAAGACAGGGTTTCTCTGTGTAGCTTTTGGAGTCTGTCCTGGAACTAGCTCCTTTAGACCAAGCTGCTCTTGAACTCAGAGATCTGCCTGCCTCTGCCTCCCAAGTGCTGGGATTAAAGGCATGTGCACCACCACCACCTGGACCAATTATATACTTAAAATGGCAAAGTTATATTAATCAAAATTTCGTGATGTGAATTGTATTTCAGTTACTATGTATAAGGAGTAGGCAGCTGTGCCCCTCCCTGTCTGCTTATGTGGCAGCAGAGCTCCCTGGAGAGGAGCTGATCCACTCTGTGGGTCATGGCAGCAGCTAAAAAGTGCTCTGTGAGCTGGTACATTGGTGGGTCAGTGTTAGAATTCTCTCCTGTCATGTGGGAGGCCCAGATTTGATTCTTTATCTTTTTAACTAGTTCTTCAAAGCCTTTTTCAAGTATCGGTCTGCTCAAGAGAACATTGCCCTAAACCAGGGTACATATTATCAGCTTGACCTGGATTTCATTACCTCATAAACAGCACTGTAAGAGATGAACAGCACACTTTATAGTGGTTTCTAGAAACAGGAGTATCTTACTTGACAGCTATATAATTATTCTCAGCCTTGCTCGGCTTATAACTAATCAGTCTTTTCCAGGATGCCCAGGACAGAGTCCTAGCAAACCACTAGACAGATAATCCAGCCAGGCAATGGGCAAGCTTGTCCCATCCTTTCTCATTCATGTTCTACTCCTACTATTCTGGCCAGGACCACATGGCTGCCTGGCATCTCCTGCCTGGTCTTCCTCTTTTAGTCTCTCCTGCATGCTCAGCTTGTGTGTGATGCAGCACGCTCCACATATGAGCCACAGTAGCATGCTCCTCATAGTGCACCTCCAGGCTGGCCCCTTTGTATGTGTGCATGTCCAGACCCAACCCTTCAGAGCTGATTCTTCCTCCCAAAGCAGAGAGCCTCCAGTCAGGCCAATCCGTCCTCTGTACCCTCTGCCCCAAGTCTTGACCACCTGCAGCTTCTCATCAGCCCTGCCATTTATGGGCTATTCAGTGCAAAGTCCTTTCCCTGACTGAGTTCTTGCAGCACTCAATATGCCTGACCTGACACCACTCTATCCCCCCAAAAAATTCCCTGGTTGTCTTGGGTGTCACAGTGAAAAGTTTCTATACCGGATAAGCCTCTTCACCAATGCAGCAATCCAAATCAGACCAAATCAAACCAAATTAGAAAAAGCCCGTGTTTGAAGGCCTCACCCTCCCTGGGGAGCAGAAAGGATATGTGATTGGTAGGTTATTAGTTGGGGGCGTAATAGGGGAGAAGGGGAGGGAGTGGGAACTGGGATTGACGTGTAAAACAATCTTGTTTCTAATTAAATAAAAAAAAATTAAAAAGAAAAAGAAAAAGCCCATGTTTAATGGATACAAGGCTCCCGATGGCTTTCCAGCCACCCAGGGAGGAGACGGGAAAGGGAGACAGAAAAACCACAAGTCTTATTTTCTGAGAGGCAGTTTAAAGACCCTATAGAAGTGCTCTTGAGCATCTCTGGGAGAAGGGTCATCATTTGGCAGGCTTTCTGAGATGCAACAAGGTTTGGAGAGAGATAGGGGAGGAGGCGTGGGTGGAACTTCCACCATAACACACAGCACTGTTTCTGGCATTTAAACAACCTGCCCAGAAGTCCTCAGCCCTCTTCACAGTTGTTTTGTCCTTAAACAACTACTTGGCCTTTCTTCGTCCTCAGCCTCCCTAGCTTCCACACTTGGCTTTGCTGTTTAGCCTTTCCAACGCTTAGTTTCCTTACTTGTTGAGTGGTGTAACCTTTGTCACCTAACCTGTATGGTGGCTGTGAGTTTCAAAATACATTGTTGCTTATGCGACAAATTCTCTTCACAGCAGGTACTGTAGTATTATTTTCATGTGGGTGCTCCTTGACTTAAATAAGGTTGCAACCCATTAACCCAATGGCTGAAAATATTGTGAGTCAAAATGCATTTGAACACATTTAGAACACTACATCAGCCTACAGTTGGCCAAAGCCATTCATCACAAAGCCTGTTGGGGGTGTTTCGAGTAGTTTTGTAAACTTTGTACTGAAAGCACAACACATAATTTTTGCATGAATACCACGTTTGCAGCATGAGTAGTTAAGTCCCCAGAGCCACTGTAAGTCAAAGCATGGTTACTTGTTCCCATAGCAAGACTTGTGCTGTCTTGTTTCTCCTCATTGGATTCTAAATGAGGAAGTGGCAAGTGAGAAGGGAAGCTGTACAGAGATCTCCAGTAGAGATCTTGAGGCAACCCCTATCTGCATGTAGTAAAATCCACCTGTTTGCAAAGCTGGATTTGTCGGTACCATCTATGGGCCCTGCAAGTACAGGCAAATCAGATGCAGGTCTGCCTGTAAGGGTTAGGTGACAAAGGTTACCCCACTCAACAAGTAAGGAAACTAAGCGTTGGAAAGGCTAACCAGCAAAGCCAAGTGTGGAAGCTAGGGAGGCTGAGGACGAAGAAAGGCCAAGTAGTTGTTTAAGGACAAAACAACTGTGAAGAGGGCTGAGCCAGCTACTGAGTGGGGATTACAGTGACACCAGGATTGGGTTGCACAAGACTGTACCCAGGCCTGGGGGAAGGAACACAGGCAACAGGCAGGCACAGCTTCCCAGAGGTCTTAAAACAACATGTTTGTTTCTAAACTTCTGATTATAAAGAAAGTCCATGCTTCCTGAAATGATGTTAGAAGGATAGCACTTACTGTAAGTAGCACCACCCAGGAGTCACCACTGCCAACAAGTTGGCTTGGTTCTGGTGTTTTGTTTTTTTAATGTATGTATATAACATTTGTGTATTTTTAATTTTGTTTTCACGAACACCCGGAAAGATGGAATCATGAGAAATAGAGTGATTTACAGCTTGAATTATTTTTCACCAAGAATACATATTTTTCCAGGTTAATCAGCACTAACTGAATTTATTTATTTTTTATTTGGCATTATTTTAAAGAGTACAACTTAGTCATTTTAGTATCTTTACAAAGTAGTACAACCAGCAATAATATCCAGTTCCAAAACATTTCCACCATACCCCAGTGAGAAACTCATCCCTCCCCAGCTCTGCAGTACCTCCAGCCATATGAGTTTACCTTTTGTGAGCATTCATATATCAGAAATCATGCAGTATGTACCCAGTTAGATCTGGCTTCTTTTACTTTGCATAATATTTTCAAGGTCCCCCCATGTTGTTAGCATATATTAGTACTAAACTTCTTTTTATGGTATAAGTAGATGTTAGGGATATTTCTTCTGCTGTGTGCACAGATACTGGGGTTGTTTCTGCTACAATTTTTTTAAATCACAATATATATTGACTTTTCCTTTTAGCCAGCATTGTATAATTAGGTATATTAATACAACTGGTCTATGGACAGGTGATTCAAATATGTCTTTTGTCTTTGGGAATGCAAATAATATAATCTCCTTTTTGTTAAGCTTTGGTTAACAAAGTGACCTTAAAAAGTGACCTTGTATCATTACATCAGAT